AGATGAACCACTGCAGTGTAGTGCAGGGATGAACAAAGAAAACAGGAACTGAACACAACCTATAAAACACTACATTGGACAAAGTGAAGAAAAGTGCGCGCAAAGACAAAAGACACTTCTACAACACACCGACAAGTGAAACAGAACAGGCTGCTCATAGGAGAGACACAGACCTGACAACACTATATCAAATAACCAGGCTACTATCTGGGAAGAGATCAACTCAGATGAAACCAATGAGAGATAGTGAAGGAAACTTAGTTACCAAAGAGGAGAAACAAAGGAAACGATGGGCTGACCACTTCAAAAAACTCTTGAATCGACCACCAACACAATCTACAACTCATCCAGGAACACCACCAGCAACCCAGGCACAGAACTATCAGTGAACACAAGACCTCTGACAAAAGTGGAAGTCCTGAATGCCATAAAGTCTCCGAGATGCGGGGAAGCAGTAGGACCAGATGAAATTCCTTCGGAAGCATTGAAAACAGATGCAAAGACAACAGCGGACATGCTCACACCACTACTGCAGAAGTTTTGGAAGGAAAGAAAGGTACCTTCAGACTAGAAGAAGGGCTACCTTGTCAAACTTCCAAAGAAGGGCGACCAAAGTCTTTGCAAGAACAGGAGCGGAATCATGCTCCTGTCCCTGTGCACACCAAGCAAAATATTAAGACCCATCATCCTGGGGAGATTAAAAGGTGCTCTGGTCTCAAAACTATGACCGGAACAGGCTGACTGGCTTAGGGAAGAACAAATCATGTGCAGATCAAATTGCAACGTTACGCTACACATCATCATAGAACAGAGAGTAGAATGGCAGTCAACCCCTCTAACTCAACTTCATCGATTTTGAAAAGGCTTTCGACAGTGTCGACCGAGAAATAATTTGGAAACTGCTTCAACACTACGGAGTACCACAAACCTTTACCAACCTCATTCAACAGTTATATGAAGACGCCACATGCCAAGTGATCCACAACGGAAAGCTCAGCGACGCCTTTGAAGTGAAGACAGGAGTAAGAAAAGACAACGTTTCCGCCTAATATCAGCGCTGATCTTCCCAATTGTGGTCGACTGGATCATGCAACAAACTGTGAGAAGCGAGAAGATAGGCATATGCTGGCTGGAACCATGAATAGACCCTAGAAGATTCGGGTTTCCCCGATGATGGTTTATGTCTAATGTCTTGTCGCACAAACTCAAAGATCTACAGGCGAAAACTAGCAAGTTAGCAGAAGAGGCGGGCAGTGAAGATAGGACCTCAGGTGAATGTGGAGAAGGCAGAGGTGATGAAGATACCCAATCGACAACATCAACAACAAGCACCAATCACTATGAAGGGGAGAAACCTAAAGGAAGTAGTCGCTTTCACCTACCTAGGCAAGGCAGCATCGTTTCAACTACGGGTGGCGGCACGGATGAAGATGTCAAAGCCAGGATAGGAAAAGCAAGACAGGTCTTCACCAACTTGAAGTCAGTGTGGGGATCTGCTGCAGTGCAGTGCACTCAGCATAAAGTGTGAACAAGATTCGGATTTTCAACACCAAAGTCAAGTCAGTGCTTCTATGTGATGGTTCAGAGAATTGGCGCGTCACGCAAAGCATTTCCACCAAACTCCAGAAATACATCGACAGCTGCCGCCTATGCTCACTCGATACTAAAGATCAGATGAATGGCCAGAAAGAATAAGCAACAAGGAACTCTGGGAACGAACCAACCAAGAACCTATCACTCGACAAATATGCAGAAGGAAGTGGAAATGGATTGGGCATACACTGAGAAGTCCGACTAGGGACATCAAGCGCCAGGTCCTCGAGTGGAATTCAAAGGGAAAACGACGAGTTGGGCGTCCGAGGTGAGGGTGACATGGAGGAGATTGTGTGAGGAAGAAACGAAAGCTTGTAGGCAGTTGTGGAGCCAGGTTCAAAGACTGCAGAGAACAGAGTGCAATGGAGACGTGCTACTGGAGCCTTATGTTCCACCAGGAACAATTATTTTTGATTAAATATGTTACTGTAGTTTCCTGGAAAATAGAGAGGTCGGTGGTAAGTGAGGACTACTGTACGAAACTGTCATTTAATTAAGACGATGGATGTAAAGACAGGCGCAGTTCCTGATTGAGTGAAGAGCTAAGATGGGCATAATCCCATTCACACCTTCCGGGCCTAGCTTTGGTGCTCTGTGCATGTCGACGTTTAGTATGTTTGGAAGTGCCGCTTTGTCTTTAAGTCTCATCTCTCGTGTCCCGTCCCTTTAGGATTTCATGAGCGCTGATATCTGGATTCGTATCAACCAGCGGCCGGTTGACTGTAGTCAGCATAACCGGTCAGTCGAAATTCTGAGGATTTTATCTGTTATTGTTGGTAACGTAGAAGAAGCTTGGTAGGTTGCCTTACCGTGAGAATTCCTCGATTTCACGCCAGATGATTACATGAAGTTGTCGCTGAAACACATAATGACACCTCATATTGTTACAACCGCCACCAAATGATTTCAAATATATTTTAATATACATAGATCTACGGAGTGGTTAGCGGCTATACCTTGGCATAACATATCTGCTGAAACAGTAGCGAGTCTCCATCTAGAACTGCGGGAACAGGTGCATAGTTCGACGGCTCTCTGTTTCAGCAACTATTCAAACCTCTTGTAATCAAATGCATAAAGGAATACTGCATACCATCATGTGGCTAATGAGATTGTTGAAAGGTTCCATCAACAACTAAAAGCTGCATTCATTGGTTGCGTTGAGGACGGATGTGAAGTGGAGCGACGAACTACAACTAGCTTTCTTTGGCATACATGCGTATCATTTAGGACATTGGCTGCTGTACCGCAGGTAGTTTGTGGACACACTTTAAGCTTGCCTAGAGAATATTTTAACCCAGCAACAGACGTCACATCTTGTCTGTTTCTAATGAGCCGTTATCGTCTTTAATCCTGCTTGATTTGGAAAGAAGGAAAACTGCCTGAATAATCAGCGTAGTGAGCCACATGGATTTCGATACCATCTCCTATCAAGCCTTGGTGAGTGAGGTAGAAGTAGGGCTCGGTTACTAGTCGGGTCTAGTCACAAACTCGACAAATCAATAGACGAGTAACATTGACGTCATTAGTTTGAACTTTCTCGCCTGTCGAATTTACTTGTAAGGTGGATAATCACCTTCGTCCATGCAACTTTCTGTTTTTAGCAGTTATAGCCTTGACATTTTAGAAACAGGTCTGCACAGATCGCTGAAAGGATTTGGGATTACTGAAGTGCTTTTATACATCCGGTGTATACGTTCTATCATATAAACGTAATGAGTTGTATGCCGACTAACTAAGCAGAGTTTATCATACTTTTCAGGTAACCTTTTGGACTTTATCTATTCATGGACTGGTTAATGATATGACAGGTGTGGAAGCCAAGTTAGCAATACCCATTTACTAGGATGGGAAATCTAACAAACCTGAAACGTTCCTCATGTCCCAAACAGAGGTTTTATTGGAGCAATAGTAACCTGTATATATCTTGAGCATACCTTAAGTATTAATCAGAAAAGAGAACATCTATACCAAATACAATGTTGTGGGATGAGTAGTAGTTCAATCTTCGTTAATGCATGATAACTCTCTACAGTAAGGCGTCTAAAATGCTATTTTGTATATTAAAGCCAAGGGAAACTGCCTTATAACTTTCTTTTGCTGTACACAACTGGAAAGATAACAAAACGCAAAATGTCCTAAAGGTACTGCTTTTTTAATATCTTTCTAGTAAGCACTTTTGTTTCATTCCTTTCGTATTCTCATCATACTCCTGACTTTGCGTTTCAACTGAGTGAGTAACAACAAAACGTGAGTAATGAAAACAACCGATGTCCGGTTCAGAAGTCAGTCGGACTCACAATATAAACTTCGTTAGATTACTTCCCAAGATCAACGATCTGATTAACTTGGTTAGATTAGACTAAATATCAGCTTACTGTAACTTAGATTTTTACCTGTCAACATAATGAGAAGTCATGTGGAGTAGTGACCCATGTCGGGACCAAACAGTAGTTATTTAAACGTGCTGGCATTCTTGATTGATTTCGTCGGAAAGTTCATAATAATACTGTCTTGTTACTACTAGTTTTATTTATGGATATAAAGTAGCCAGTTATTATCAAGAGATGTGTGAAGTCAGTTGAATCGGCAGTAAAGACAAACACTGGAAACTATAATGTCGAATCATACCCCGAAAAAGTAAACGGAGCTTTAATCATTTACTTCAAGTGTATTGTATTTTGTGGTAGCTGAAGGTGTTAGGTTGAGTCGCATAAACTGTTTCGCAATTCCAAACAAAAGCTGAATGGCTGACGACACAAAAGAGACAATAATATATTATTGTTTTTACCTTTACATCTGTCATAGTGATCAAGAATAAGCGTAGAAAATAGTCAGAAAGAATACAAAAGAAAACGATGCAAGACAACAAAAAGTAGTTGACTCAAATCATGCGCACTGTTGTTCACATTTCATGTATTGTGCTTTTGTATGCACATATCACAATAATTATCTAAAACGTATGATATCAACATCATCGACAACAATAATGATGTTAAGAAAGTAGATCCAATGCACAGAAAAATAACACGTAACGATTTCCACCGTCGGCTTTTGCATAGTCATTCTCTATTATCTTCAGTTCCAGCCAACTAAGCTTCAGTCCGCCAAAAAACAATACCTGTTTCTCCTCTGTAACGAGAATGTGAATAAATACACAGAGCAAAACAGAAACAAGTGAATACCTGAATCCAAATTATTCCCCAACAACAATAATAATAGCAATTCAATGAATGGCTGACATCCCGGCGACAACACAAGTACATTTAAAATCTCAGTGGATATTATAGGGAAAAAGGACATACAGAAGAGAGTCTTCAGATAAAGAATTTAAGATAGGCGAATGTCTATGTGTAAAAATCGCAAGAAACACTGTGATCATATTAGTTGATATCCAGAAAAGCAAATTATTTAGATGTTTGGAGAGACGGGATTTCCTCCGAAGGAACTGCGACAGAAGAACTCTGAAATGCATCCAAAAACAATTAGTTAAAAAGAATGCATTATCGCAACTGAAGGTGGCTTGCAATACAAGTTTACGAGTGACTTTAAAGTCCACCCTATCAACTGCTGAGATAACCAATTAGGTTTCTATATTTCATCTGAAAATTTGAAATTTTATTCGTTATTTCAGAAGTTGCTAGGGTGGCATCTACAGTCACTCTGTTTACACTAAGGAACACAGAAAAAGGTGCGAAACGCCATAGACGGTTCTTTAGAAATGCTCATACCTTCTTTTTCGAATACTGAGCCTTAATTAAGTTTCATCTGTAATATTTCCACAAACTCACACTTATTGGGTCGCGATTTTTAAAATCTTTTATAACCAGCCATAGGTAACCTAATATAACTTCATGTTCTCAATCAGTTACCGTTTTTTAATTGGTGATATGAACCTTTTGGATTTATTTTCGTGATAATTTATAAGCGCAGTGACCGAGTTTGGTCGCACTAAACTACAATAGTAGGCATATTAAAGAACTAATTATTGGGCAACGACACACAGAACTCATAAAAAATAACCACCTTACGATAAGAGTCTTTTATGAAAAGATAATTCATGTTTTTAGTGTAATTATAAGAAGTTTATCTCAAAAATCTGATGTATTTGCGCAATACATTTCGAACAATATGATCATACATCTACTTGTCAAGTCAATTTATGTTAAACCAAAGAGTGTGAGAACAAATACAACAATCAAAACAATAAGAACTGAGATGAGAACAAAAAGGAAGGGTGACGTAGTTGATCCGAATCTTGGTAAGAAAACGAAGTCTACCGAGGTAGGTGTATGGTGTAAGAACAAACTGTTCTGTACACCTGAAGGTGGTTTTAATTTGTGTGTGGCTATCGATCCGCAAATCTCACTATATGTTCCTGACTATCTCTATATAAAACTTTCAAAGCTGTTTCAACATTAATTTTGTAATATGTTTCTATAATATGTTTAGCTATAGATGAAGAGGATGGTCTCCCACTAGCGTTTATCAAGGTTTCATACTATATTTGTTGTGAAGCCATTTAGGTACGTGCTTTCCCATGCAGTTGAGGGTGGGAAAATATGTACCTAAATGGCTTCAGAAAAGAATAGAGTGTGAAACCTTGATAAACGCTGGTGGGAAACGACCCTCTTCGTCTAAATTCATAAAAGAAACTAATTGTTTTAAGTTTTTTTTTTCAAAAAATCCGTTTGCCTTCCACTTCTTGCTCTTAATCTTGATAAAAGATGTGTATCGAATTCCTCGCCCATGGCATTCCAAAGTGCAAATTGCCGTCACAGGAATATTTCATGCTAAATCTTTACAAATCCCTTAAAATAGTGTTCTACTGATGAACATCTGTAGCGAGGTCAAATACCACCTGTTGGTTGCTTCAAATGGAATACGTCAGTTCACCGGCCTTTGTGGAGCTGGATATGTAGGCAGTACCCAGAGGTTGAACGTTCAATGTCAAGGGGAACACGCTTCATTATAACTCAGATCAAAGGAGAGCTCCAGCCAACAGGATTCAATTGACAATGAACACAATTCTGTAAGAATATTTTGTCTTAGTTTACAGAATATGGTGGAAACTTAGAAAGGTGTAGGTAAACGTCCACTGTACATTGCTGAAGTGTTAACAATAAAAAATTGCCAGCCAGGATTATGCACTGAACTTCTGCAGTTCACTTGCATCACTTAGCTTTAGAATGAATAACACAACCTGCATTTAAAATGTTTACCTTTGACGGACTGTGGAACAATACAAAACAGTCATCTATTACCATCAAAACACTAATGATGTTCCCTCGTGAAGATATTCCATTTTAGTTTTATTCACAAAGTGAAAGAGTACTGTTTACCAGGTATGTGTTCCAGTTATGTGGAGAATTCCACTATTCACATAACAAAGTAAGAAAGAGAATTAGAACTTTATAAACAATGTGTCAAAGTTGTGGAATCACTTTGATATAACTGTGAACAAAAAAAACTGTCTGAAACGTCATCCAGTAAGCAATATTGTTTCATTATGTGGCACCTCTAAGAAACAAACAAAAATGAAACCACAACCTACAATAGTGCCCAAGTTCCACTCTTAGAAAATCAGCTTCAGAAATATGCTGAATTGAACCGTAAGTACTTATTAGTGGAAAACTACAAATAAATAATGGGTAGAATAATGAGTGAAAAGTAATGCGAAGAGTTTCTATACCTCTTTCCAAGTAAACCTTTCGTGTTGAGGCCCCGATAAAAAAAAATACAAACATTAAATTTCATTAATACAAAACTGGGTAACGGCACAAAAACAAACAACATACCGGTAGCTCACGCCCTTTTGTTTCTATTGGTAAGAAAATTGATATGAGTGAGACTAACATGGTTATACAAGCATATAAAGATAAAGCTCCAATCTGTGACACTTCCGGCATCATTACCTGAGCTACATAAGGTGTGATCATGGCACCTAGCCTGGCAATTGAACTAAAGGTACCAACAGCCACTGCTCGAACAGTTGTTGGATAAACCTTGAATGGTAGAAAAGCAAAGAAAAGAATTCAGCATAAGATTTGGATTCCACAGACAGACAGACGATAGTCAAACATTTAGAGCAGCTTAGAAACACCCAGTACATAATAATAGTAATAATTTAGCGAGACTGAAACAACAGGATGACTTAAAAATTCGTTTTAATTAGAAATCAGTTCGCACTTGTGAATAGCTAATATAACAAAAATTCATCGCTAATAAAGTGGGATAAACGATGTAAGTCAATTTAGCATATGTTCAAGTGTGAAGACTAGGCCGAAGTGTGCAAAGCGGGGATCTAAGCCATTAAGCCACACCTCAACACTCACCACGATAAAAGATAATTAGGTGAATTGACAGTTAATTTAATGAGAATGACATCTACATACCAAACGAATAACTTATCTTCATAAGTTGCTTCTGCATGAAGCTAGAGGTCATTTTCACTTACCCTTAGCTAAATCATGTTGACAGATATGCCTTCATGCGATTACAGAAAGTTTTTGTAGTATAACTATATACAAAGAGGTGAATTTACATCTGCAACTATTACAATCAATAATGCTGCATAAACGCGCGAAAAGAATTAAGATTGTTTAATGTGTGATCACCAGAATAATATTTGAGCAGAAAAGTCTGCCTAAGTGAGATCAAAAGGTGTAAAAAATGTGAAGTCATCACGTGCTAGCTTTTAAAATCTTAAACACAGTTTTATGAGCGTCGTATTACCACATTCTTGTAGGATACTGTGTATAGTGCTGATAGATTTATCAAAAGTTAGTAGTCAATAAACATGGAGCCATAAACCTTGTCGGGTGACATCAGTAAAGTGCATCTGAAAACTATGGGAAATTCATATTCCGTCTCGTAGATATAAACTTGCGTTGCTCAGGGTTGAAACAAGAGACCTTATCATTATATCTGGAAGATGCACCACATTAGTTAGATAGGTGTTTGCTTATGGAGTTTACACACTACTACTTTGTTAAGATTGATTTTATTTTTGATTTTACAACAACATATATCTCATATTATTACGACAATCCGTTGCAGTTTTCGGTGATACACCTTATTGTTATGTTCCTGAGTGTATATAATACGAGTCTGCATGAGAATTTGTTGCCTCTGAGATTTTTCATATAACTCACAAAACATATGTGTGTACATACGTGACATGTGACTTTGATCAGAATTTGAAGCATTAACATAGTAAAAGAAAGGATTATCTAATCAGCGAATTGCTTACAAAGTGAGGGTGTGTGCGTGTGTATGTGGACTACTGACCACGGTGTAAGGATGGCGCTAAAAAGATAATTTAAAAATGTTTGGATGAATAAATAATGTTTTGTGCAAAGCTAGGGCCACTCAAGAATTACATCTTTAGGCTGGAATTCATCATGAACTAACAAAATTTGGAGGAACATTGGAAACCTGGGAGCACTGGACACCTGTTTCGCCCTAATATGGGACTCCTCAGCAGTGCGCACCCATGACCCCGCCACGAACGGAACCCAGGACCTTCAGGTTCCATGGCCAGCACGTTACCATTGAGCCACTGGGTCGGAATCCAATGATCCGTATTTCCTACTTCTATCAGTTCACGATGTAGTGCAACCTACATCCAATGTCGTCGTTGAGTAACTATCCTCATGTTTGACTTGGTTGACTCCACTGGTTACAATTTCTCATTGAAACTTCGGGAATCACATCTCGAAGCTAGTCACCAGTGAGAGCTAGATTAACTCTGTCTGGAGGTTTGTGGAGATTTATTAATTGATTTTAGGAGTCCCATATCCATATCCAGTGCTCCTAGGTTTCCAATGTTCCTCCAACTGATGTTAGTCCATGATGAATTCCAACCTAAAATCAACTAATAAATTTCCACAAACCTCTAGATAGAGTTATGACATCCATTTATGAGTGGCAACATCTAATATGCTTTAAAATGTTCTCAAATGTGTGAGAAGTAATTATAAACAAAACTCTCTAGAGCTTACCTCAGTAGTGTAAACGTATGAAAGACTGAATAAACCGGCAGTAAGTGCGCGCAATACAAATAACAAAGCTGTCATAGCTAACTTAGGCATGCATATATAAAGTAGCATAAACAGAACAGCAATAAGTCCGTTCCAAGTAGCCATGGTAATTTTTCTTCCCACAAAATCTACCATGAGAATCATTAGTGGTATGCCTGTAAAACAATGTATACAAAAGATGACTTGTAGAAGCCTTTATCAAGCAAGCTACATAAAAATTCAGATGAACTTTTATGTCATAAAAAACATATGGAAAACTAGAAATCAATACCGAGTAACATGAAACATTGTTGAGATTACTTAGTAAAATACAATTCTAGATGAATATTTCAACAAGCTTTTGAAGTTTGAAAGCGGTTATGTCCATCGAGGATGGCAAAACCAAGATGATATTTAACATAGACCTAATTCCATAGTGTTTTTAGAAAAATGTTTTCTCGACATATGCCGCGTAGATACACAATTATACAGTATTCACCTAAATTTGATTGGAAGTTGGAGTGATAAGATTCACTTGAAGAATAAATCACTAAAACATGATAACAAGTGAATAAACGATAAACACTATGTAGTACTGGTTGACTATTTCATGATGTTCTGAGACTCCCCCAGCAATAAGACATCCACAGTTTCCAAATGATGAAGTAAACACAAAAGCTTTTTCTAAAATATACTAGTTTTGATAACAAGCAACAGCAAATACATTCAACTCGCAGTTCAAATACTCAAGTGCATAGAACTTCAAAACTTGGCCTTCAGAGTAGTCATAATTCATCAAAAATGGATCAGTGCGTTTTCCATAAGAACTACATTTCACAAGAGTACACAAAGAACAGACGCATAGAAAAAGAGTGATATTAAAGTAGACAAAGTTGTGTGACAGAATCAACAATCTGGAGATAAAGCTTAGTGCAAACATTCATGCTTTAGAAGATGTCAAGGAGTGAATACACCTGCACCTCCGTGACCGATTTTCAGCATTGTGTTCTCTAAACTGGGTTGTTTAGTCGTGGAGCTTTCACCGTCTTTCTAAACGACATCAGTAGCACCAACTTCAGTATGAAGTCTACATCTCTCCATATGCCTCAGACCAACAGTCACAGGCTTCATCAACTGGCGTCACATCTTGGTTAGACCACCCTCAACCCTCTTCAAAAATAATCCAACCTCGATGGTGTTATGTTCTCTGAGCTGCACTGTTTGATCGTGGAGACTTCATTGACATTCTAGACAACGTCATCAGCACAAACTTCAGCATGGCAAGTGGAGGTAGGCGGTAGCTCGGTATGTGCAGTACATATACAAGCCATCTGAGTTCGCTAAGATTCACAGCCTCATCAATCGAAATGCCTGTCTTGCTTAGTACCCTTCGTCTGACCTCAACGGTGATCACACAGTGATTCCACTAAACGCGAGCAATGCTACAAAGAAATCTATGATAAAAACCATGTAATCGTTTCATTTCTTCTACTTTTAACGACAATGTCTTACAGTTGTACAATGTGACAGAACGGAATGCATACAAATAGTTGACAAAAGTTCGCTGTTGGTGTATCACAGACAAATAGTTCATACAAATTTGGAGTGATTGTATATTTTGTTTTGTCAAAAACTCTAGTGCAACTTTCTTACCAGTCAAATCACGTTTGTATCAGATTAGAAAATTTGACTAAACTACGGTGATAACAGGAAACGAGTTCATTCACATACTAAACAAGAATAATAAAGTTAGGCGATGTCAGCTATAAGAAGCATAGGACTACAATAAGTTGTATCGATTGGTAAGTGTAATAACACTTCTGGAGTAGAAAAACCTTCCAGAAAAGTTATGAGAAGCAAAATCATAACGACAGCACTCCGTAACTTCCCTGCTATACATATAGTTAACTGAAAAATTATCATCTATTGTATATATGTTTGCACGAAACGCAGTCATCGCGTTTATGTACATACTTCTTAATGGTTCTGCTTTATAAACTAAGTGGTTGTTTGAAACAATGCGAACCACAGAAAACCAGAGAATCCTTTTAACTTGGCAAACATTACACCAAAATAGTGTAAGGAATTCACAGATTAGTTAGGCGATATGATGAGTGAAAGGTTAGCATGCGCAGATAGGATATTTGAGATTTGAAAAATAAAGTATGTATTAATTTGTAAGAGTATCATTGATATTTATTCATACTTTTTAACGTCCTATTACCGACAGTCGATAACCCCACAGACCAATGTTATTTCACCAGGCATCTTACATCCTACTCTTACTTCAGTTAAGACAGCAAGTCATGGTAGAGCGTTAATAAGCACGATCATTACAAGCACCAAAAACCCTTTTCGATAAAGGTTCACAACTTAAGTAACTAACCTGATCCTTAGAAGTAACTTATTCTCAGGTACTAAAGAGAAGTTACGTGATTACCAAATACCTTATACATGGTTTAATTCTTTCTCACCAAAGAAATAGGTGCACCAGTTATTTAGGTCACAGTCTGAAGATACCACTCCTGAGTTTTGTATATGAACTGGTAGCCTCGCGTAATTTGTCAGATTTAATAACTATTTCATCTAAAACTCTGAAAAGTTTAGTCTTTCAGTAGCAGTTGAAAGTACTATATTTTTGTTCAACTGATAAAGTGATCAGTTTGTTGGATGAAACAAGGAATAGTTGTGAAAAGACTGTTGTCTCCAAAAGACGAACAGAAACTAGGTTATGATGGTCCTAGATTTGACAATCCCAACCGAATTGTATCTCAGTTTTTTAGAGCAAAAAGTCGACTTATTCTCTTACTTAGGCAGTGAATGAAACAAATAAAGCAATCGCTGTCCAACTTAGATGATAAAAATTAAATAGACATCCTTAGTTGAATTATAACCAATAAAACTCTACAAGTAAAACACCGCAGAAACAAATATCAGCTGCCGAAAAGAGTTGGGGAAAGTGAATCATGAAGAAACAGAATTTCACGTGAGTTAACCACTGACTTTCAAATAAATTATCCATTCGTAATTTATATGACACAAAGCTTGGATATACATCTTTCACTTGTTTACGGTAGAAAGTGGGATCTGTTGAAGAGCTTGGGACTAGAACGAGACACGGAATCAGGCATTCAACAATTTTTCAGTTTAAATAGATTCACTTTGAAACATCCTTTAACAACTCTGATACTTGATCGTCTAAATTCATGTACGTTTGTATTTACTATAGTGCATAACATATTTAACTAAGCTCCACAAGAAATTAAAAATATGTAAAATCATCAGTACTACGTCAATTCAATCTATACGTTACAACTAGACTACGCTTGAATCCGCTTACAAAACAAATACTTAGTAGGGGATAGCCATTTGCTCTATGATAAAGTTCAGGATTATTCATCTTGTTTAATTATTTAGTTCTATTGCTAAAAAGTTACGAATATTTCTAACTACTAACTGAGATTAGCTGTAGGTTGAAACAACTATTTACAACTCAACGGAGAATCAAACTTTTTAGACTCTTCAAGGATCGATTTGAGAGCAACGAAATAAAGCATTCATTTCAGTGAGCAAATTGAAATATAGTCTGTGGGATTTGTGAACGTCAGTCAATTCTCAACAAAACACAACAGTTCTTTGATTCGTAAAGTCAGTTTTCTTCTGACAGCCTGACTCAATTAATGAACGGTTTCACTTATGGAAATAGTAATCGACGGTTTACAAGTAACTTTTACAGAAACTTGAGAGCTGCCTGATGAATCGTAGAGATCAACGACAGATCAACCAGCAATCTCAAACAAGGAAACGACAATTAGTCATTCTTCACTTAATTAAAATACTTTGTTGGCTGATATCAGGTCGGCAAAAAAGGCCAACAAGATATTTCAGTTAACAAAAAGTAATTCAGAGAAGAAACTTTTTTTCTAAAAATGATTTTCAACAGCTATAGAATTGTATTTATTTCAATAACAAACAAGTAAGTCTACTACTGACTAATAGGCCGACATTTGGTCATCAAAAAGCAATGTTTTAAGGGAAAATAATGACTCGTTTCCAGAGTTCAAAAGAGATTGCACAATCATAGGGTGTATAGGAAAAAGTGAGCAGTGGATCACAGGGATAACTATTAGTTTTCAGAAAACGTAACCGGAGTAAAACACCACGGGATTTGAATGGGTAGTCGAAGCTAACAGATATAGGCACTACAGAATAAACCATGAAGTAAAAATAACAACAAAGATCGATCAATAAGAGTGGAAAGGATTTTAAAGCAATGAAGAAAGTCGACGAAAGATTATGACCATGGCAAAATAAGATGTTGAAAGTAAGTCTTTCTGTATGCGAGTTCGAGCGCTAACTGTTGCGTTATCAACGCTTCCACTATGCATAATTGACAAGTCTTTATGCTTTATAAGCTGTTCGATTTTACTTTGTTTAGGATTTTGAAAGAAGACTGTCGGGAAGCGACATATTCAGAGTTGACCAAATGCCTAGTGTGTATCTGTTTTATAACATACTAAAAAAGACTCCATTACTACTTCGTCGTTCTATCGATAAAGTTCCTTATTGAATCTGAAATGCATACTAAAATTGCACAGAAGGAGTGATTCCTGTAGATAATTAATGGGAACACCGACTGCTGGTTTCAATGCAGTGACATAGGAAACAAATGGTCTCTCTGTGTGGGGAGCATTTTGAAGAGTTTAGTAACATCCGAATAGGGTATGCGTTTTTGCGCATACGTTGAAGGTAGTATATTGAATCGACAAGATAGAGTGAATCAAATGAAACACATATTTTTCCCATTTATAACTCGTTAAAGAATTACAGTCAGCCACTTGGCAATATCATGGCATGGGTGATTATTCGTTTCCAGTATTAGACCGCGAAAAATATCCTTTTGTACGCCTTCGGATAATTCTGATTATGTCGCTTCCCGACAGTCTTCTTCAAAATCCTAAACAAAGTAAAATCGAACAGCTTATAAAGCATAAAGACTTGTCAATTATGCATAGTGGAAGCGTTGATAACGCAACAGTTAGCGCTCGAACTCGCATACAGAAAGACTTACTTTCAACATCTTATTTTGCCATGGTCATAATCTTTCGTCGACTTTCTTCATTGCTTTAAAATCCTTTCCACTCTTATTGATCGATCTTTGTTGTTATTTTTACTTCATGGTTTATTCTGTAGTGCCTATATCTGTTAGCTTCGACTACCCATTCAAATCCCGTGGTGTTTTACTCCGGTTACGTTTTCTGAAAACTAATAGTTATCCCTGTGATCCACTGCTCACTTTTTCCTATACACCCTATGATTGTGCAATCTCTTTTGAACTCTGGAAACGAGTCATTATTTTCCCTTAAAACATTGCTTTTGATGACCAAATGTCGGCCTATTAGTCAGTAGTAGACTTACTTGTTTGTTATTGAAATAAATACAATTCTATAGCTGTTGAAAATCATTTATGGACGAAAACAATTTTAGTTGAGACTAATTTGCTCTGCGTTCAATTTACGTAAAAGTGTTATTAAAATGTCACCGAACCGATCACCTTCAAAAAGACATTGAACTTACTCACAAACTCTCCAATGGAGGAAACTAGCATAGCTATATAATCATCATGCGATAGCTCCCTACAACAAGAGTTGTCTAGTTGAGGTGGAGCTTCTAAAAGGGGTGGAACATCACCGTGGCTCCAGTTACCATGGTAATCTGGAGTGCGAATATAATCTAACACGAAGGAGAGAAATAAAACGAAAAAGTGGTAAACCATATTTTTAAAAATTTGACAATCTTCCAAAACAAATCAGTTTTAGTCAAGTGAGCAAATCAGCTTACACAGACGAATTTCATTGCACCACATCAGAGTAAGTCAAAAAACCTATAACTGTATCAGAGTAGAGTGAACTGTAAACTGTTTGCTAAACGACTAATAGGTAAAAGTAAAACTTGCCTCCAAAACATGAATGCCTGAAACGAAATATTTCCGCACTCAGTAGGACAACACCATAATAACAGAACGCAGCACTGAACCAAATAATAGGTAGCATAAGTGTAGTTACCAAATAGCCTTTCGCAAACATCCCTTTTATGCTACCTCGATCCCCAACCTATGAAATGAAATACAGCGAGAAATAATGAAAGCATTTTGTTTTGTATAAGTGATGAGAATATTATGTGATGGGATTTGAAAAGTTACGCAAGAAAAAACTTGAACAGGATAACAAATTACTACAGATATGAGAATTGAGACTGCAAAAACACTTGAACTATAAGCTTGAACCTACCGGTTAAAATGTCAATTATTTAAGTGATGACACTTGACTCTTGTGTCAATTCCAGTTTGGTAAACCAATATTACTTTTTGGAAAGTGCGAACCACAATAAAGTAAAGCCAATGTGATCGCATTCTGTCCTATCTTAAATAAAATACACGCAAAGATAAGTATGTGTTTTCGGCTATACGCTCACTTTAGATACACTGTACTACATAATTAAGTCTCTCATATTAGTTTCTCCGGCTTTTTAACAAATACACGTATGCATAAACAAGCAACACAAAGTACAGTGAATTTCTGAAATGTGATTATGAATTATTAGAGAAAAGTTATTGTTTAGTTCAGTCACCATGTAAGTTAGCAATGGCCTTATAATCACGTGAAATTGGGCGTAACACCTTTAATTTGTTACACAACTTCAACATACAATAATGTAGGATACTAAAAGTTTATGATTGCATAGATATGTCTTTTAATGGAAAACACTCGAAACACTACACCTCTGCAGGTAGATTTTCATTTACATACTGGTAGAACCTGAGCACCAAGAAATGTGAGACTCGATATGGAAAAAAGGCGACGGTGTATAATAGAATGATCTGAGTAGTACCTTCATCTGTCACATTGGAAAAACATTCGGTAGTAGAATGCATACAGAAGTTACAGAACTAGTTCCAATGCTGATAAATATATATGATAATGGTTCAAGTCAATGAGCCACACCCTAGTTCGGGAGCCACCTAAGACGTCATAGCATATCCTAACATGTAAATTCAACGCAATCATTTTTCATGCAACAGCGTTATATAAAACAATAACCATATTACCCTTTCTTCAACCAGCAAAAAGTTAACGGTATGGTGACTGCTGAGACGATAAGTACAACACATGAAGCAGCAACCGGAGCTGGTATTTCAAGGATGAAATTAATTATGAAACGATAATCATCCTACCTACTGAACACCTACTAGAGTTTTAAAATCATTTTCAGCATGATAGCACTGGATGCATGCATTTTAAATGGGGTTGTCTAAAATCCTCCGTTTAAAGGAGCTAAGCCTCACGAACGTAAACAAAAAGTACCAAGAACAAATGAGTATACAGCCTATTGGTTACCGTGCAAAAAACAACCTGAAAGCAATAATGGTAATTCAGGTTTGTCTATATGGTCCTGGATTTTGATATACTACTGGAAATCTTATTCATTATATCTCCGTCGGTAATTACGCCACTATCTCGATGCACAAAACTTTAAATTAATTCCAACAGTTGAGCTACAAGAGTGACTGTAGGCTATTATCTAACTGGTAAACGTAATTTACCCTTTGATACTATTAAACAGGTACCGCATCTGCGGAAAACAGTCACCAAATAACTACATACCATTTGAGTAGCATGTGTCGTTGCACGGTAATACTATATTCTCCGTATATGCAAGATTATAAATCATTCTCCCTGGTAGGGGATAAACACGGGGACTAACAGACTCAGAGTTGTGTTGAGAGTCGTCGGTAGAAATGTACAAAACGAGCAATTTAGTTCCTAACTACAAAGTAGTGTCTAATACTTATCTAGACAAGCCAGTAAAAACATCAAGCTGATTTCTAAGTTCCAAATATGTAACCACAAAACGTTTTTATCTTACCAGCTTTGAATACTCAAAATGACTACGTTGATTACTGTGACTAAAGACTAAACTACTTACTACAGAAAAGTTAGGAATTCTATTCGAAGGTATAACGACACCATTCACTCCATGGTTAACTATGAAGGTGTCCCTACTAAACTATAAACGTAAAGAAAACGCTTTGGGCACTTTCCCTCAAAAAAATATTATGAGGTATCGAAAACTGAGAACCATAGTGTTAGGCACTTGTGTACGATTTCCAATATGAAATTACAGTGTTCGGATATCAATGGTATGGAAGCTTAACCATAGTCCCGAAAGGAAACAGTTACTTATTTTCACTGTTTCTTTGCGACATCATTCTGGAGGTGGCACTGACGGTGTTTGGGGGTGATCCGAATCTGCTTCCAGAAAATACATTTTTACCTTCAGCTAGCGGATGATATTGCTCTGCCATGTAACAACAAACTGCAAGTCTTCGCGATTATCATGATTACGAGTGGAAGCGAAAGACCGAGGAGGTATAGCCATTCGATAATAATCTCCAATTAACTACTCTTGTTGAAGCAATTAGGTCGCAAACGATTGCTGGTGAGATTACTTCCAAGAATATATGATCCTGACAACGGGCTGAAAAATACCTGAAATACTTTGAACAGTTGACATGGGCTACATCTCCGCTCCATTTTCCTGCCGTTCAGATAGACTGAATAATATGCAGATTTCAATCCTTCAATTTTTTGAGACAAACCCTGCACACAAGTGCATCGGATTAGGTTGCCACAACGCACTGCAGTTCTAACACGTGGTTGGAAAAACGTGATAGTAGAGTAGACAAAAGTGAATGAAAAGAGAGATGAAGAAATGAAGCTTAGTAAAAATGTTCAAACATTCAAAGATGTCAAAGAGTGGATGGATTTGCATCACTATGATCGATCTTCAGCCATGTCACCCTCAACCAGACAGTCCCTATACAGCTCAGACCACTAGTCAAGGACTTCATGATTTGGTGCCACCTCAACGTTAGGTTTATCTTAGCTCCCATCTAATCTAACCCTATTTCGGCCAACATCGTACGTCAAGGTAGGTAGAGGCTTGGTATATGCAACACATATCCACACCACCTCAGTCACTGAGGATTCACAATCTCATCGACTGACTTGTCTTCACGCCTAGTACTCTGAACCTAATCTCAACACTGACGACTTTCTGATTCCCGTACATGCAAGCAGTGTTACGAAGACAGCCATCATAAAAGATGTGGAAACTCCTCATATCACCCACTTCCAACGGCCATGTTTTATAGTCGTATAATTTAATAGAGAGAACTGCTGCACAGTGTATCCGTCATTTCACTCCATCACTTCCATGTAAAGTACTGCTGACTGATTGCTTATTGATATTTGGGTTTCTTCTTAAAATCAACCTCGTTAAGCTAGTAAGCAAGCAACACACTAGGGTTTAGAATGATGGTGAGGTAGGTGAACTTCTTTTCGACGTGTCCCATGAAACATCTCATGCACCTTTGAAGGTTATCGATTGGTAATATCACCTAGTTTACAAACTGACTCACTGAAACTATGCTCCTTGAAGTCGGTTTTACGGATGAATTGAAGCGGCTTCAGTTACAATTTGTGACTGTTATTTCTTGCGTAATTAATTGTAAAACAAACTTGTGCAGGAAAGCGTACTCAATATCTACCGCAAGGCAGCAATGGCTATGATGAAGTTGCGAGAAGCGTTCACAGACCCATACTCATTCTTTTGACGCATTTTGGAGCCAAAAGCAGTTTTACCTATCATTTTTACTGTCTTGTGGGTGCAACCAGTGTTCATTTCCATTGCTGGAGAAACGGAAGCTAGCCTTACAGTTCGGTTTGGTTGTTTTATAAAGTGCAAAACCCAATTGTAGTGTGATGTATGTGACCTCAAGATAACATAATAAGACGATGCCAAGTAACAAACCCACTATTGTTTTGTTGAAATATGAAGCTACGTGCAAAACGTTGTGGAAGACTTTTGTTATGCAACTTGAGATCACCTAGTTACTTAATGGCGACATAAAGATATCAAACCTGCATACTGGAGTTCTCAGAAACTACTGAGGCTGAAGTCTAACTCGCTGATGAGTCCCCTGTCATCATGACAAGTCATAAATGAGTAGAAATATATTTTATTTACGTAAGACCAGAAGAAATTCAGCATGTTTCTACAAAACGACCTTTGTAACTAAGTCTTTTATAACAATGATATTTCCTTCTTGTTTTAAAATTGAATAGATTCTTAGTGAAATAATCAACAAATTACCAAACTTTAGTACTTCTTGGTTGGAAGCAATCGCACTATTAAGATATTTTTAATATTCATGTATCTGGTACCTAGTACAGCGGCGAAAAATTCAAAACTAGAACATATCCTTAATCTTCAAAAGAAAAAACAAATAATCGTTTCCAAAACTACTTTTCATGAAGAGTCGACATGATGAACACGGAAAAAGTGGGGAACACTGCAAAGCTTTTTTGTCCTCCTGTGTAACCTCTAGGCAAAACACGTCAATAATCTGAGGACCGTATTTATGAGTAACAGATTTTAATAAGAATTCCAAGAGGTTTCAATGGAAAGCTGTAACCTGGAGAGTCGATTAGTATCGAGATGAGAATAAACATCCGCAAATAGTATGGGATGGCCACCACTCTATGTTATACATACAAAGAAGTTCAATAGTGGGAAGTTTTAGACTCCAAACCAGTGGATGAATGGTAACTTGATTACCATAAGACTTGCTAGTTTGAGTGTACACTACTTAAGAAAGGGTTATGAGCTAGGACGGAAACGACCATGAAATCAACTGATTTTTTGTAAAACAGCCAGTTTGGACATTTTATGTTCCAAGTTTTATTTCGATAAGGTCTATGGGTTACTAAAGTAAATGCCTACCCTTTTTTATCACGTGAAAAGTGACAATCCTTTAAAAAACTGTGAGGTCAAACATTCAAACAAACGCCAAGTTCCTACTGAATTTATACATGAACTAGATATTTTTTAGTTTATGCATAGACTGATTTAAAACAGAAATGAGTGACCAAGATCACGTGGAACAATGCCAAAAGCACCAAATTAAGAGAATTGCATCAAAAGATATGAATTAAAAGTACGGGTAAATTTATCTTTAAAAGGAGCTTAAGGTTGGACGCACAGTACTAGG